TATATATATATATATATATATATATATATATATATATATATATAGTGTAAGCCTTTCTCCCAGTCTCAGGTTTTGATAAAGCAATTACATAAGCTTAAATTCAATTATTCGGATGACTGCTATATGCCAATTAGTACACACAAAACAGTTCATTGTGTGTGTCAGGATTTTAGTGCCCTAAGCCATCGGCAAGTTTTAAAAATATTATTGGCCCTGTTCTGGCATTTTGGTTTCAGTCTCTTTCCCACCCCGTCCTGGGTATAACGATAAACTACATCCGCGTCCTGGGTAAGACGATAAACTACGTCCAACAGCAAGGCCACTGATCAGGAGGTTTTGCGGAGCGTGGAACTACCTCTTACTACTGGTGTTCCCAGATCCAAGATGACCGGGAGTGGTAGCACCTGTTAGGGTCCCAGCTACGAGGCCTCCAAACTGGGGTCGAAACACTATGAAAATGTAAAAATAGGTTTTAATACCAGAAATATTTTGTAAAAAATTATTACCAGCAATAAATCTTTGAAGAAAAATTAATACCAGCAATACGTTTTTTTAAAAAAGAAAATTACCAGCTATACATTAAAAAAAAGTATCCACCAATACCTTTTTGAAAAAATATATTACCAGCAATAAAAATTTTGTCTGCATTAAGTAACCCATTGAAGTTGATATGCCGAAAAACGAAACAAACCAAATCAAACCACTTTCCCACTGCCGTAAAGTTATTTTCCTATGCCTTTTCTATAAATACTTTCACGGTAATTGTACGGATGAGTTATTCGCTATGGCGAATAGCCTCTTTGAATTTAAGCACAGTACTAGACCAACGACGAGGTCTCATCAATTTACAGTTGAGTTGGATAGATGTAACCGTACATTCTATGTTAACAGTTTCTTTTCTCGCACTTCTCGCTTGTGGAACTCCCTTCCGGCTCCATGCTTTCCAGAAAACTTTAATTAAATTACAATTTTTAAATTGGAGGAGGAAGATGTTGGATTGTGTCAATCCCACTCTCTGAGCAAAAACGACATGCACCCAAAAAGAAGAACCTATCAACTTGATTGCATTCTGTCAAGTTACAGATGTTATATTGGAGTTTTTCTTCTGCTTGTATTTCTTAACGAAAGCTAAGGGGCCCAACATTCGCATTTGTTTGACTGTCCACCTGGGACGCCAACCCAAGTATTTTTACATCCTCGAATCTGTGCTAGATGGCTATTGATCCCATGAAAGGATTCATCCGCCATTTGAAAGGATTTTTTATAATCATGGTGGATGTCTAGCCATCCTCCTCACAAGAGTAGCCTGTCAATTGAACCGATTTAGTTGCTGTAAGTTACACACAGTACCAGTAGCACTCGGATAGATAGATAGATAGATAGATAGATAGATAGATAGATAGATAGATATTTTATAAAGTTGTGTTACATTTTTCTATGTTTAAATGAAAATTCGTGTTTTAAAGTAGGCTCGTTAACTTCATTGAGGTAAAAGAATTTCTCTTTCTTTTAACTAACACATTGACTGCCAAACGCGATTTATCTCGTGGTTGGCAGTTTTTATTATGACTTCGACTACGAATTATCTCGTGCTTGGTATTTTCTGTTACATTTTCATCTGCGCCAACAACGAGTTTATTCGCTGTGATACTTTTAGTGTGAAAATGTTAGGACTTCCGTTGAAGCTATAAACAAACTCATACAAAAATTTTATTGCTTAAGTTGGCTATTATAAATTTGGCGTTTGAAGTCAAATATCATAATTGGAAGTCAACGTGTTAAGAAAAATTGTTCCAGATTTAAAGACAATATTCCTTCTGAGTGAACGATTTAACTGGGCGAATTATTCAAAATGTATTGATCCATATCCAAAGTATATATACATTTATTCAAAACATAAGTACGTTTTATTCAAGACCTAAGTATTTTATTCAAATTTTAAGCAACTTTACTCAACATATTCTTTCAGTAGGCTAGAATTAAAATTTTCGAATATATAAATTATAAATAAAGAGAATAAAATGAGAATATTTTGTTTCATTCTTCTTTGATCAAACATCAATTGTGCTTTTTATGTTATTTCATGAGAATCGATGTCCTCTTTGCTGCTTCAGAGTTACCGGGTTGGGCTATGAATGAAAAGGAAGTTCCAGATTTAGAATGGCTCATCTTTCCAATCTGGCCCAATTTATTTGCTACTTGCCCAATGTAGCCTATTCGGTCGATTAGCGTTGTGTTAGGCTCGTGTTTTGTAAAGTAGAGGAAAAGCAAATTAATTAAACAAAAGAGTTAAATTGAAATATATATATATATATATATATATATATATATATATATATATATATATAATTACATTGTTAAATCAGTAAATCTCAAAAGATTTAAGTATAATAAATATTTGGGTATATAAATTTTGATAAAAATATTCGAACTTTGAATTTAAGTGCTTATGTTTTAAAGAACAATTCATGCTTTGAATAAAACTATGTCTGAATAACCGTATAATGATGTGCCAAACACAGTTACCAGCTTTATATATATATCATATTATTATATATCTTTTGACGTGCCAAAATCATGGGTAGCAGTAAGCACAGGTAATGGTTGGTGGCGTCACAGTACCTTAACACCAGAAAAATGATCAGACTCATATCATTGTTGTTCTGACATCTGGTGCGTGAGTATGAACACCGACTAGACTGCTCAAGTTCGAACGGACTATGGTAATGTATGCCAGACAGATGGGGCATTTAATATCTTTCGTTCCCTGGTGTCACTTGGATACCAGGAATACTTGATGGAAGGCTTTACTGTCTACTGTATACATCGAAGTAACTAACCTTGGGTCTTTTATGATCGTGACCAAAGGCGTCTGGCTATAATTAATGTAGTGGAGAACTGTCATGCACAAAAATCTTCTTCTTCTTCTTCTTCTTCTTCTTCTTCTTCTTCTTCTTCATGTGCCTTCAAAAATAATTGTATGTCTTAGCTGCCATCTTAACACCACCTAGAACTCGCTAGAGACCACTACTTCACAACCAATCCAACGCCAAAACATTAATCATCTCTGCCTTGTTGACGTCTCAACCTGTTAAAGCAGTTTTGTTCCATTCGTCCGAACCATTGAGAGTAGCACAATTTTCGCCGGTAAAAAACAATTAAAAATTGATATTCATGTATTCTATTGCTTATTTTATTCGATTTCCTATATGGATGTCTTTTGAAGAAAGCATAACGCCACTTCATTTAGGATCTAACATATTGTGCTTTTTTTACATTCCCGCTCTGTCATAACGCCTAAAAATTTCATAGCACGACAAAGATTTTTTATAGCTAGAAATGGAGTTTTTATAACTTCTCTCTGCGAGACAGATCGTCAAGATGATTCTCTCAACATTCCCTTATCAGACCTGTATCGGAAACACGGAATCTTCAACGAAGTTCTTCACAGTTCGGTGGTACATACCGATTTCTTTTCAATTTCCAACGTTCATTTGCGAGCTATTTAGTTGTGTACCATGCGTGATACACGCTTAGGCGATCATGTAACTTTCGATACATGACTGACGAGCCAGATTTTTTCCACACTAGGTTGCCATTTCTTTCTGCAGTAGACTAGTTGCCATCCAAGGCTATAGAACTCGGTCTGTCCTACTATGGGTAAATCCTCCTCTTCTCCCCCCACTAAAGAGAAGAAGAGGATTCATACCTTTCTCAAGGGTATTAGCACGTAAGAGAATGTAATGGGTTTGACTGGAATTCGAACTCGGCTCTCCGATTCCTCAATCCGTGCGAGCTATTAAAAGAATTCTTTATCTGTCAAATCAGACTTGCGACACATTTTAAAACATCAAACTCGCAACGTGGCAATTTGGTTTGAGTCTTCGAAATTCAGGACATTTTATATAAAGGGCCGTTGTTTGTTTACATCTGCTTAGAACGAACCGGATTTCATACTAATTGCTCACATAGTTATCACCATCGTTCAATAAATAAACTGATGTGGATTCCGGGATGAAATCCGGTCTCAAATGAATGACAAACGCAGTAATGAAATATAGCAAATAAATGTATTGACGCAATAATACAATTGGCAATACGGTTAGTAGATCCAGAAATGCGGTTAGTAGCAATAATAATATATATACAGTCTGGGAAATTCAGTATCGAAGTAGGACTTCCTTCTGAGTCTACGTGCTCGCAACTGTGACTCCTACAAAGCGGTTACCTCACACTCTCACTCTTTTACTTCCTCACTGTATCACTCTATCAGTGTATCTCCCGTCTAACTCCCGGGCATTCACCGGCAGCAGTACAAGTACACACTGGTCGAGTCCACTTGTATGAAAAAGGGGTGGACCGCATAACACCCCTCTCCTTAGATCCCTTTTGGGGGGAGTTAGTATTTTTTTCTCTTATGGTCGATAACCAGAGGTTCAGTAAATTTTCTCTTCCTGTTTTAAATGATCTCTTGGGTACAATAGGTGTATACTAGTTTTTGCTCTTGTTTGGTAATAATTTGTCAAACACAGACTGTATTTTTACCTTCGTCCTCTGCATAAATTCATCCTTTTCCGCTTCTCTTCTTATCTCTCGCAGAGTCACAGGTAGTTCCTTTACTGCATTGTATAAGTCTTTACTGTTTTCATATATGGTAGCACATGGCACGTTTCGCTTCTTTTTACCTACTGGTTGGACGTTTTCTTTTAATTTAATTCTAGCTGCACCCTTACAAAACGAACTGATTGGTAGATCCCAAACGTTGAACTTTTGTATCCAGTCCACACTCAAGACAGTTTTTATATTTAAAACGGCAATCCTTGTTCCAATGTAGTCCTCCACATCGATAACATGCTGATGGGAGGGGTCAATTAGTAACTTGGGGGAGAGGTTGATTCATACCTGTCCCCGAGGTATATACGCGGAAATTAATATAATTAAATTGGAACTCAGCTCTCCGATTAACAATTTCGAGTCATATTATCCACTACACCACCCGATAGTATTCCTAAGCGGTCACCCATCTAGGTACTGAACAGGATCGACATTGCTTAACTTCGGTGATCGTACGGGAACCAATGTTTAAGCATAATGAGACCACTATATTCAGATCATGGACAGAGTCGAGAAGTGACACTTTGATCCGAAGCAGAACACACTGATACATTCATCCTCGTTAGAATTGTCGATACATCTAAATAAATAAAGCACAGTGTACGTGTATCCGTCCGTTTTTCGATCTAAGGATTTACACATGCGCGTCGAATAAGCACAGCTCGTTCACATTCATTCAAACGCTAATCACGAGAGCAATAGAAGTATTGATATTCATTTATTATTTACAGCATTATTATTTTTTAATAGCCTAAAGTTCACTCGAAGGCTTTTTTGAATTAATCTATAATAATAAAGCCCAGTGTACGTGTGTCCGTCCGTCTTACCGTCCGTTCGTTTTGCGATTTCGGCGAATCATAAACAGCCTCAAGTAACAGGTAGTAACTACTACACGCGATTAAAAATGAAATACAAAACTCATTTAAAGTTAAATTTAAATATCGAACGGAGTGAAAGGTTTAAAAAAATAATTTAACTTTAAAATAATTTAACTTTAATTTCGTCGCAATTGCAACTGATATCGTCTAATTAAACCGTAATTAAAACAGGAACGGGGCGTGGTACGTTGTTCATATGTTGTTTTTTTTTTCATTTTCTATTACACGTACTGCGACGTTTTTGAAAAATTACATAGGGTTTCTTAATGTCTTTTAAGTACGACTTTATAGAAGGGATCTCTCGGAGTTAGCTCCTCCTTAGCTCCTTACCCTTTCACCAGGGGTCTCTCTTCCCTGACTATAAATACTCGCTGACCCTTCGCCTCTTCCTCTTTTTCCCTCAGGCCTTTGGGCCGCCACCTTGAGGTAAATGTCTTTTGCCTCAGGCTTTCAGCCTTACCACCTCGCAGATGTGAACGCTCACAGACACAGCGTTTCCCAAATGCTGGGAACACGCTAAGAACAATACACGTACGTACGAACACTCACCACAACACAACACACACATATAATATTCACCACACACTCTGTCCATGTAACTTGTAACCTTTCTTGTTATTAATACATATATTTGTTTACATATATTTATCGGTCTTGTGTTTGTTTTTCTTTGCTTTCTTTGGACTTAATTAATGTCCAACTTTCTCATGTAGTTGGACCGGCTAGCAGGAAATATTAACTCACGTGTGTTCTTCAACTCATACTCGACATCGCCGACACAGTCCGCTACAGGTCATAAAGAATGGTGATTTTAAAAGAAAATAGAAATTGCAAACAAAATAAATCTAAACAAACTATGGAGGTCAGCTGCGTATACGAAGAAAGGTTATGCCGAATTAAGGCATCGGATAAAGATAAAATAATTTTATTATTTCTAAATTCTTATAACATTACGAACATGGATTTTTTATGGGTACTATGTTAGTGTGTATAGAATATATAGATAAATGTCCCCGCGGATTATTTAAAGCCAAGCAAGTTCTGTATAAAGGTGTATACTTCTACATTCTCCCCAAAACATTATTGACAAATGAATCTTAGAAGTATTTGTTATCTTTCCCAACTATGATCTCAGTCATTATGAACCATGGAAATATTTCTCTATTATTAAACATTTAGCAAGGATCGAACATTCTATCTTCCAGCTGCAAGATTCGCTCATTCGCCATCACGCGAATTTCATTAAAGCATGTAACGTGGGTTTTTAAAATTTGATATAACCCAGCTCTTACTTTCTTTTTTTATCCCAATCTCGCTCGAATAAATATGAAGCAATTTTTACAAATCTGCTTCTAGCTTCAAATTTCCTAAGTACAATGTTACTTGATATTTGTAACGAAACTAAACGTGTATACTCAAATTACTGACAAGACATTTACTTACTAAAACTTGGGTTAGTAGTTAGTTACTAACTATAGCTTGGTTTTGGAACAAAGTTAAATGTGAAGATAGCCAGTGAGGATCGGATTGACTAAACAGTAATAATGTTCAACCGGAATAGCTAGCTATTACCTCTCGACAAGGCACCTAAACCGAATTTAATACAGCATAAAATCAAATAAAATGAAGGTTGTGTTAATCTTCTAAGTGGAGAGAGTTTGCCTGTCTGCCTCGGAAATCAACTTTCCTGCTTTTATCTCGGTTTGAACATTGACCTCTGGTATGGGAGGAAAATGCGTAACTATTTCGACCACTAAACAGAGACATACCTTTCTTTACTTTCTTTACTCCGACAATCGTCGGTTGCTGGGCAACTTCCAATGTCCATACCGCGTTAATTATTATTGTTAAAGTTTAGATTGCTCTATAGATTTGACTATTGGTTTACTTTTCATTATTAGTTGTAGAATGTAAAGCAACATCAATAGTGTTGTCTAGATGCCTACCTAACAAGAACACTAATAGTGTTTTCAAGATTTCAATGTGACAGGAACACTAATAGTGTTGTCTAGATGCCAATCTGAGAGAAATTACATGTAAAGATAAATTCTATAAAAATAAAATAAATATCTGAATTCGTTCTCTCAATATGACATTTTGAAAATTTCTTGTTTCTAAATTAATAGCAATAGTTTTTAAAGTGTTGCTTCCTTTTCAACATAATTCACAATCGACTAAGTGTTCAATTCTGGACGACCTATCGACGGTCAAATAAACCCTACAAATAGGTTTTGTGTAAACTGTGCGGTATAAGTTTTCGAAGGACAATGGATATGCAACTCAATTATTTCCAACTATTTTACTACTGCGGAAACCTAAAATATGTCTGATTTAGAAGCATTATTCGGAATTTCTCAATGTTTGAAAATATTTTAGATCTGCAATAGTGAACAGGTTGATAATCACTCTTCTACAGTGTCTGAAATTTTACACTATTGATCATACAATGTGGTAAGCAATTACCACATTGCATTATCAACAGAATGGACAGCATCTCTTTATATCCATATCTATCTTTCTTATTCTCATATGTATATATATATATATATATATATATATATATATATATATATATGAAAGAGAGATAATATTAGTGGTCAATATTTATATATATATATATATATTTCCAAGATGATAAAATCCAGGTAAAGCTCAATGTACAAGACAGAGTAAGAATATAATATAAAAAGCTCAAACACTAATATTCCATGGTTACAATTTATTACATTCAAAAAATTAGAATTTGTAGGTCTGATGATGAATTGGATCGTGATTACGATTTCAATGTAATAATTTATAACCATGAAATATTAGTGTTTGAGCCTTTTATATTATATTATATTATATTATATTATATATATATATATATATATATATATATATATATATTACAATGTATTTTTATTAATCCGACAGATTTTTATCACTTTAAACGTTATTATAAGCGGATACTTGAATACAAGTAGGCTCTCCGTTTATTTAATAAACAGTATATTTATTTATTTTCGTCTACTGACTGAATGTTCCAGAAATCTTATTAAACATATATTTCTCGAACATTCAGGCCGGTAGACGAAAATAAATAAATAAATATACTGTTTAATAAATAAACGGAGCACCTACTCAAATATGAGATTTCACTAAAAATAATGTTTAAAGTAATAAATATATATATAGAGAGAGAGAGACAGACAGACAGACAGACAGACAGAGAGAAAGAGAGAGATAGAGGAGAAGAGAATGAGAGAGAGAGAGACAGAGAGAGAGAGAGAAAAATGAAATTGTATATTTTGACAGCTCTTCTCCGTTTAAACATTCTATGAAATGAAACGGACAGGGAACGTCTGTTAAATCTTTTGTTGATTTTCTCTTGGTGTAGAATAAGTCGTTTACTATCAGGTGAAAACTTCTAACATAGGGAAATTATCAGTTATACTTAAAGAGGTATCGACCATCGTTGGTCGTTTTCAATAAAATATGAGAAAGTCAAGATCGTGTGCAGCATTTATTTTGTTGACAGTCCAGAACAGCAAAATCTAAATTTGCCAAGTGACGCTAAATTCCATTCCATATTCAATGGAATTGAGCTCACGTTCATTTCAAACTTTGAACCGTTAACAACATAAACGCTGCAGTATCTCTTGACTTTCTAACTTCTTTCCTTCAAACCGCCCCCAAATGATCGAAATTACTCGAAGCATAACGTATAATTTCAGCAAGTTCATTTACAAGTTTCCACTTGACATCAAACTACATATATATATATAATCTAATTGCAAATGACAACGCAAATAAATTTTAACAATTTAAAGCGTACTCCCAATGAAAACAAATATAAGAATAGATTATATTCCGTAAGACAATTCACATGTTTCACCTTTTGAAATTTTTTTGGTTTAATACACGTGCAACTTTCCTCAAAATTATATATATATATATATATATATATATATATATATATATATATATATATATAGTGAGAAAGAAACAGAGGCAGACAATTTCTTGCTTTAATATGACTTTCTCCTGAAGAATCTCATTTGCATAATTTTAAAATTTCGTAACATGAGATATTGTACAATATAAATTATTTTATTAAATTATTGTTTTTATATATTTGGATATACATTTCGAAACGTCAAAAGGATTTTGCGGGACATTACGATAACAGAGAACTCCACTTCAGCAATATAAATGCAAGAACTAATTTATCTTTCTGTCCAATAGAGAGGCAATAACGGAAGAAATTGCCATTAAATTGGCATGAACTATAGGATTATGTGAAGGTCAAGAATATGGCGTGCATGATACATCTTTCATAAAGATAAAATGCTATGACCGGGCTTCTTACAAGTTACCGAAAAACTGATGATATCTGTTATCTGTAAGGAGAGTGGGTGGCAATGTATCTGGATCCCAAAATAATCCCATTAATTCTTCATAACGTATTTAACGTTCATCGGTGAACTGTTGTAAATGGATACTGCAAACTTGAGCTTCAGATCAAAATGTACGCACACGCACGCACACACACACACACACACACACACACACACACACATATATATATATATATATATATATATATATATAT